AGAAGATGCGGTAAATTTTCGTTATGTGGACACCCGGCGATTTTGAAAAAATTTTTGACTGTACTGACGTATTTTGATGCGTAGATTACGAATCCGAAAAAGAAGGCTGAAAAGTTGCCCTTTTCTGAACTTTGAAGGGCCGTAACTTTTTAAATAAGGGAGAGCGCCGCTTTTTTCTTTCGGATTCGTAATCTACGCATCAAAATACGTAAGTACAGTCAAAAAATTTTTCAAAATCGCCGGGTGTCCACATAACGAAAATTTACCCAATTTATTCAAATTGCAATACCTTGACATAATAAAATTAAGACAATGTCTTTGTACTAGTACACAAAATAGTAACACATACCAGTGTGCATTGCTCATAACCACTTACACCATTCGGTCTGGCCAAGGGAGTTTGCCGTCCGTAACGAAGTACTGTGCAAACTTGTCCGTGACAGTTCTTGCATAGTTACTTGCCCGAGGAACTTGTCCTGTGCCATCAACACTTACAAATAATGCTTGATAATAAGCCTCTTCTTCCCTGGAGCCATCTTTACGTCTGACGTGTTTGTGTAGAAGGCAGCATGCCAATATAATTGACTCAGCTAAATATATGTTAACATTCAGGGCTCTGTGAAAAACTCGCCACTTGTTTGCCATGATTCCAAACGTGCATTCTATGTAGCGGCGAGCCCTTGAAAGTCTATAGGGGACTGCTTTCCTACGTTAGGGCACATGATGTTTTTAGACAGGCCAAAATATGTAAAGACAGGCCAAATATGTAAGGTAAACTAGTGTTATCTAAGGTTGTTATTGGTTTGGGTGCTGGTACGTTAAATGTTTCTTCAGATACGTGTTTGTAAAACAACGATTCTTTAAAAATAAAAATTATGGAGTCATTACTTTTGCCATAAGACCCTACGTTTACATATAGGAAACAATAGTTTGCATCACACACACCTAAAAGAATAGTTGAAAAAAAGTGTTTGTAGTTGTGGAAAAGAGATCCAGTACCAGAAAGTTACACAATCCTGATATGCTTTCAGTCCACTGCTCCCAAGCAGTTAGGGAAGTTTGCATACTTAAGGAATTCATTGCTAATTTCTTTCCATCTTTCTTCTGAGATAGGAAGCACACATATAAATTTGAGAAGTCTGCACAGAGCGGATCATAATTGTCGCACTATATTTGAGATTGTTGATTTTCCCAACTTGTAGGTGTAATGGAGGTAAGCAAAGGATGTCCCTGTTTCCAAATACCTGGAAAAGTACAAACCAGCTGTAGTTTTATATTTTTCAGTATGCGAAGTGCAGATTCCTGTAGTCACACATCTGAATAATAAAAATAGCCTATAATATGTGCGTTAACTTTTTTTTTTTTTAGGAAATATGTTGCAGAAAAAATGGAAACATGTTCGAGATAACTATGCAAGAGAATTAAAGAAACAAAAAACGTTGAAATCTGGTTCTGGGGCAAGTAAGTCAAATCCATACATATCCTTTCAACGTCTTCAGTTTCTGCAACCTACTGTAACAAACAAAACTCTGTCACTGATAACCTGGAAAACAGCAATCAATTAGATAAAGAAATGGAATCGCAGGATTTACACTTACTTTCAGATGAACCCAGAACGAGTGCTGTTGATAGGAACGTTAATAGTAACAAAAAGTTCAAGATGAACCCTGTCGACAAGCAGTTCATAGATATTTCAAATAAAAGTGTTGCTCTTAGGGAACAAAGACCTACAGAAGTTCCAAAGGAAGATGATGACAAACTATTTTGCTTGTCTTTGTATACGGAGCTACAAAAAGTACCTGTACATGGACGGCTCCGTACAAAAATACAGTTATTAGAAGTTCTTCAGAGGGCCCAATAACTCTACAACCCTTCAAGCATTCATCATCTAGCACCAAAGAGTTATCACTCGTATCAAGCCCATGCAGTGGCCGTGCACCACCCCAGACCTTCAATCAATTTGATTACGGGTCCAATCTGCAAAGAAACCAACGTCCCCTAATACAAGACAGTTCCTCCGAGCACATCGATTACAGCAGCCAATCAGCAGCTGCAGCAGCAGTGAACACACCTTATTCCCAATCTGTGCCAGCAGGAGCAGCCCTTTCGCCAACTGACAGTAGCATTTCGCAAGCTAACTCAGATTTTTCAGATATTTACAACTGATTATTTTCTTTTTGACACATTATGAATTATTGTAATGAATAAATTACCTTAATGTTACAACGAGTTTTTCTTCTGGTGAAATCGCATCCCTCACTAAATATTCACAAGGTAATAAGTCATCTTTGACTAAAGACAACAGTACATCAAATGAAGTTACACTCATACGGAAGTAGTTAAAAACTTGTTGGGGTGTTCCCTCAATTTTGGGTACAGCGTCACAAATGAACCCATAGTTCTATCATCTATTACAGGATGCACCCTCCATCTTCTTTCTCTTCTTCGCCTTGCCCTGTATCTGTGGTGTAACCAAAGACATGTTACCTCCTCTAACTCCATAGTGGCACTGGTAGTAGACTGGTTCAACTAACGCCGAGTCTAGCGCTGTCATGTGTACCGGATTCACATTTGCTAACGCGCGCTCAACGCGGCGTCTAACGCCCTCATGTAAACAAACCCTTAGGACTTTCATGCCACCATCCTAAAGTCAGTATATCCCATCTGTCCATCTGTCAAACACAATTCAGGAAGTCAGGCTCCAACCTGTTTGAAATCAGGATGATTCAATTGATGAATAAGTCCAGTCATCACCCGAAGACGATAGTGGATAACAATCGAAATAGTGAAGTAACTTGGCTTGAAATCTTTCAATTTTAAGTTTTCACTCCTTGATAATTGTTCAATTTTCAATTGTTGCTTGTATTTTATTCCATTGTGATTTCAGATTTTTTTAAATATATGTTTTTTCAGTTAACCAGCTACCGCACCCCTACGAACGATAACCCTCAGAAGTCGAAACTTGTGCGAGCTAAGGACTAACAAGGTCTTTCAATGTGTGATTCCTGACACGTTAATATATTTTTTATTTTTGAACCAAGCTTTTTAATTCAATTGATTCTTTCAGGGATTTCAAATCATTCTATATCATAATATTAGCCAATGGAAGTCCGAACTAATTAAATGCGCCATGAAACATTGTCAACCACCTTCAAATAAACGTTTTCCATAGTTACATAATCATCAAACAGTTCATTCATGAAATTTGAATTGATCGTTTTACCTGTTACCCTTAACAACGTGAATGATCGGCACTATGGAGCCGACGCGACGTATGTGTAATGTTCAATCCGTTTTGTGTGTTGATAGAGGGTTTAGTCGACAGAAAAATTTTGAGTTAATTTGTAATAGTTATTTTCGTGTCTGTTTTTAACAATGCACAATTCGAAATGCGTATTTGAAATATTTTTTGAAGCGTGAATCAATTGTGGATGTGTTAACTGTTGGTGCTTCTGTCACCACTACTTCGAGAGGTTATCAAACGAGTCCACAAGCAGCGATAATTTTTCATGTACGGGCCCCAAACATTTATAAAACAAGTAAACATTTTTTGCAAATTGGCAACTGTCCGTCAGGGAAAAACTCGCATGTTTCGGTATCGTCTTTCGAACAGTTACTGAAAGAAATGGTGATTTAAAGGAACTGCAAATGCGTATAACATTACATCGATCCCTTGCCATATAATGCCGATCCCACCATATCTGCTCTGCTGAAACAAGCAAAAGTACAACTTGGCAAATCTAGTTGTGCATCTGAGATGCGTGAACGATAGAGAGAGATGGTAACTATCCAATAATAACATTTTAACATGGTTGTTGCGTATCTCTATGCGGCTGAAGTTATTTTGATTGCCTCATGGTAAAAGTGTAGAGAATGTAGAACAATAGTTCTCTCTCTCTCTCTCATGTTGGTATTTCAACTTTGAATAGGTATTCAAGAACATAGACAGTCATACACGAGGAATCATACATAGTAAATAGGGTGTTTCATTCCAGAACAATCAAGACGAATCTTGGCGTGGATAACAGTGAGGCAACAGAGACCGCGATTGTATTCCTATTCTCAAAATGTGTGACATTAGACTCATTAGAGATATAAAGGACAGGTAGGGTTTTTTAAAGTAGACAGAGTCTAGGGTTCAAGAAATTCATGAAAGATACCAAAATAATTAAGTCGAAAAACAAATATATAATAACTATACTACGTAAGCTCCAGTCTTTCAACATCTGGCACGTTCTTAGTTAATGATTTGTCGCCCATTTTGTGTCCATCATGAGTGGAAGACCGACTTATGGAGCGTTCTATCGAGAAATGCGAATCTCTCGTAGAGTAGCATCAGCAAATTGTTCAAAAAGTTCCAAGCTGCAGCATCCATCAGGACCCTGCCGGTTACCGATAAACTTTTTTCCGATAGGTTTTTGTGTGTCAAAACTATTTTTACTTCTCATCCATTCTATACTGGGTTCTCTTTTATCTACCGAGGCAATATTTCGGTGATGCATAAAGCTTGGCCATTACCCCTGAGCGTGAAGGGTTTCATACCTCTGTTGTATATGTATACCAACTATAAACTTTTCTCCGATAAGTCTTTGTTCTAATATGTTTATAGTACTCAGATACATAAAATTCATAAAAATATTAATAAATTTCATGAAATATGAAACAATAAATTGTCTAATGTATGTGGGATGATCGCTTTTTCCGTCTCACATCGTCTCCAAATTCCCTGTCTCTTGCACAAAAAAGACATAAGCAAAAGTTGTAACATAATTGCCCACACGTTACCTTTGACAAATCAACAGCAAAAAACAAGTAATGCTGCATACAGGGCACAGTATGTTTCGAACAAGTCAAACGGTTCCCCCCGACGAAGCTATTATGTTACGTAATAGGAGGAGCACTGGTCAAATGCGCCTGACGACCATGCAAATAAAGAAGAAGAACAACTACCAAAATAATTTATGACCTAACCTAACTTCAAAAATCAAAATAAAAATTTGAAACTCAATAAACTTTTATGAATACAATTTTTTATAGTTGGGCATTGTTGATACTTTTTTTTAATATTATTCTCAGAATATTTAATATTAGAAACACTATCTTTTGAATTGTTGATGCTTTTATTTTTCAAAAACTACAATGGATGAACTGTAAGAACGTCTATTTAAAATAAGATTAGTCTCTTACGTCTTATTTTTCAGTGCTAAAAGACTTTTCCATGATCACAAGAATCCAATTGTCAAACTAGACCTATTGGGATCAAAGTTATTCTTGAGAACGGCATCTGATGAACTCGCAGAATTTAATGAACAAAATCAAAACATTTTGGAAAATGTTCTCAGACATACCCGTGTAGAGAAAAGGTAAATATATCGTAATATTTGTTGAGGTCTGCGCTGTAGCAAATGGTACAGGCCCAAGTATGGAGCCTTAAGGTACGTCTATATTAATGGTGATGGTTTCTGCTTCGACTTTTTCGATAAAAGTTGTTAGTGGACAGTTGCCATCTCTCTTTATTGGTCGCGCATCTCAGAGGCACACTCAGATTTGCCAACCTGTAAATAGAACCTGAATCCCAGTTTTGGTGCAAATTGTCGCCATTTGGCAAAATCTTTCAATATCGCCATATTTTACCTTCAATGATTCGACTAATTATATTTTGTTACTTAGGTGTGCCAGAGCTAAGGCTGAGTGGTGTCCCGAAATTGGTTTAAGCAAAGTAACAAAGGTGGTCAAGGGATTATTAGAGAACTTCGGATTTCAAGATAAAAGAGGCATCTTTATGTACCCTGAGGAAATGCTCTTACTAGTGGAATCTGCAAGTATTTTCAGCTTGATAAGTATATAGTTTAAGTCAAGTCTGAAACTGAATTATTTATTTCACTCAAAAACCCTATTGGGTATAGAACAAATCAATCACATAAAAGTAGATATATTTGCAATTAAACAGCCTAAACTCAAATTACATAAGAATATAAAAAACATACATATAAGTAGATTTGTAAGATTTTTTCATGACGCTTCGAAAGAATATAGTCTCATTTCTGAAGTATTCAGGCAGCTTATTATTTGCCCCGTTGTCCCCAGACCTCAAAACACGGCAATTTCTTTTCAAGCTCCTCGACCTTTTCAATATGTTTTTGCTTACTTCATGTGACTGTTTCCAGAGAGCGGTATATTATGTTTGCACGAGATCTAAACAGTTCCTAGCCAAACTCTCTCACATTGCNTAGAGTTTAGTTTGTCATAGTTACTTTCGTGACAGACCATTTTAAACAAATGGTTACAATATTTTTTATTTACCCAAAACTTCAGATTTCCAACTTCAAAAATGACAAAATTCAATACAATCCTTGAACCCCTATTTTCCCCCTTGGGGGTGGAAATTCCTGATTCTCTTTCTTGATGCGTATTTACGCTATACAAAGAACCTACCTGCATATTTCAAGATTTTAGGTTCAGTAGCTTCGGCTATACATTAATATAAGAGCGGGCATCATCTAGTAATTTATATTTCTACTTCAAAAGTACAGTAATTCAAAGAAATATGTCAACTGCACTAAGTAATGAACAGCTTCGAGAATCGAATTATGTTACCTGTAAAGAAATTCACAGAACTAACACAACCGTCATCGACGTATGCCCTCACGCGTCTGCCCGCGTTCGGGTCGAGTTCTCGGCGATGGCTCTTCATTGCTTAGACCTCCCCTCTACCCCCGCGCGACTTCTTTCAGTAGACACGACGCGTAATGGCTTACTGTGTTGCGTCAAGTTAATCTTATCGTGATAACTTTCACACGATTTGTCTGAATTATTAATAATTATGTTTTTATCATAAATTGATAAACTTTATATGGCGTGTTTTTGACCGGAACTACCGGTTGACCTAAAATGATGTTCTAACCCGGCGCTCTCCGCCCTCTATCTTTAAAACGATTCAACTTATAAAAATATTTTAGACACAAAAGTTGTAGAGAATTTATCCCTCTACAATATTGATAATAAATGCGAATAGCAAAAAACTCATAGAAAACGAGATATTTGCAAAAAATCGATTGTTGTCACCTTTGACCTTTTAATAGTCATAGAAATTTTAATAGTCGCACACAGCCTACCATACGTAGGTTTTGAGACAACTTTTACGGTGTTAAGATACAAGTTTATGCGAGTTTATAGCTGGGTATCTCAAATTTTGAGGTGAACTCGCTAAGATTACTAGACTAATGAAGTGCTCTGCTGCCAGAGCCTGAATTTCCTTGTGAAGAATAATCCACTTCAAGGTTGACAACACAAATGTGTGACTTGGGAAGTAGGTCTCCTGTGACCCGTTGCAGGAAGACTTTCTCTCGTGACTCACTAGATAGAAGATGCTGTCTCGATCCTCTTTAGTGATCTGTAACCATACAGGCTGGAACGTATAACTCTGGAACCATACCTATGGAATATTTTCTGGATATCCTCTACGACAGCCATCATGGCATACTGAAGAAACTCCAGTTTAGGTTGCTGGTTGCTGTTCAAGGTGCAAGTTCCACCTTAATGACTGTAGCAACCATTCCATATCAGGGCATCAGCGAATCAGCTATATCTGACATAACATTAAGATTCAGCCATGCAGAACTCTTTCGCCTCTGGTTTGGGTGAATCATCATTTGAGCATACATGTTTGCTGATCTGGTCAGGGGGAGATTGTTTTCTCTCTTGATGCAGATTCTGCTGTTCAGGCTCAAGAATTTGTTGCATGGCAGATTCATAAGATAATGGTTGTTGAGGAGGCAATAAGTGGCTTCCTGGCTACACCACCAATCCTCCTAGGTTTATAGCTGGCTCAAGAGTAGAAGAACTGAGAAGTTCTTGGCTCTTGATCCGATGTTACAGGGAGGTCAGTTGGAGTCACGTCATCTGCTCTGTAGGCTCAGGGCTACTTCATGGTCTCCATAAAGTGTGGATAGAGAAATGAAATCCACCTCAGCAGAGCCCCTGCATTACTTCGACAAGGCTTTCTATTAGGTTGTTTCAAAAGTTTTGTCCGTGCTTATGAGTCTTCTTTGAACTGTATTATCTCAGTGCTTATGCAATTTAATCGAAATAAGCGCTATTAGAAACACTACACTTTTGCCAACGTAACACAAGTCGAATAATCCCGCCAGCATAAAGTTGCCTGCTCGGGATTCATAGAAGTCGACGAAGGCCATTTTGCCTAGTCCTGATTGGCGAAGGCGAAGAAAGTTATCCAAGTGCTTGGAATGATGGTAGTTGGTTGGCTAGAGGTCTGAGGAATATTTTCGGTGGGGCAGTACTTCAACGCTCGATTTGTTCAATTTTTGAACGGTGATTTGTGAAACGTGCGGACGGGCGTTGTGGATCAGGGGCATTTCAATTGCCAGAATTTGAGTTTCCATTGCTTCCTGAGGATTGTTTTCATCATTAT